GAAAGGTCAAAGTGGCCATAAATCGCCATCCAGGCAAGAGAGCGCAGAGAAAAGAAGAAAGTTGGCGCCATTAAAGGGATTGAGTTTTAGCTGTCCGTAGACCGGGAATTTCAGTTTGCAGTGTTTTAATTGCTCCGCACGGCTTCTGAAGGCGCCATAATCACTATTTCAGATTCTCGACTCAACGTCACTGTAGTGTCTTCACGATATAATCGGACGCTTCAATCTGCTATAGCATTCACATCTTCGTTTTTGTTCCCTAATAAACTGTCTGTACCGCAAGTATACATACAGGTAATACATAGTGTCGCGATTCGGCCTTTGGGGAAGGGGGGAAGGGGGTGGGGTGGAGAGGGATTTTTGCTCTTTTGCTACTTCAGAGTGACGTGTAGAGCCATCAAATGGAGACTTTTGAAATCTTGTGAACCCTTCTCGGAATGATACCTGGTAAAGTTTGTGGAGGTCACAGTTCTTTCAAATTCACGTTGATATTCATTCCATGAGCTATTTAATGAGCCTACAGGAGTTGACAGGTTTTACCATGGTATCCTGACGAGCCTGCCCCTGCCCTGTATATTTTTTTACCTTTATCAAAGTTTTTTATCTTTGTAAAAGTGGTTCCATTTATTTTATGCTTGTTAGTGCTTTTACAGGCTTCAAATTTCACATTTCTGTGTGCTAGTCCTAATTGCGCGTGCCATAAAATAAAAGATGGAGAGGCCAGTTCGAGAAGGTAAGTGACCGAGTTCTGAGTTGGGCATTCCGATATTATTCTAGATGCATTTTCTATTGAGCAGCAAAGTTGGTGTAGTGACTAGTGGTTCGCTCACCAAGCGCCCTGTCTTGGGGTCATATATAGGATCGCTTGCTGTCCAGACCAACCAAATCATTCATGCACTACTGCGAGTCTTCCGTCCACGGTCGTTCCTTCGGTACCAAACTTGTCTGGGACTACAGAAACACTGATTTATGAACTGCCCCCCCCCCTCACATTATGCGTGCCAAATGGCATGCAAAATTTCACTTCGACCACGAGTGGCAGTTGAATGCATGGGGCATCCCAAAGAAGGATTGATCAGCGCTGAAAACTCTATCGTTTTTATTCTTGTTTTTTTCAGGAGCGGTACGAGTATTTCGTTCAACGTTCGCCAGCGCAGCTGAGAAGAGAAGCAGACGTGGTTAGAACTCAGAGCGCTTTCTTCCATGCCAAGGATCCATTCCAAATAATCGACGTTGCTCTTGGGAGGTAATATTGGAGTTCCACTTCGTTATCGGTCCCTTAGTTGAAGAAAACTAGCTCTGGTTTCGACAACCACAGCCGCGCACAGTTACGAAGCGACATCGAAGTCATCTTGCGCAGTCACCCTCAAT